CCATCTTCATCTATTTATCTACTAGCCATCAGCAAGCCAAGTGTTAAACACGGCCCACACAGCTCTAATAGGCCCAGCACTGTATACAGAGGAGTGAGGGAGATCAGGAGGAGAGGAGGGAAAGAAGGGAAGACAGAGAAGAGGGAGAGGAGAGAGAGGAGAGAGGGGGAGAGGAGAGAGAGAGGAGCAGGGGGAGAGAGGGGAGAGAGAGAGGGGAGATAAGAGAGAGAAGAGAGGAGAGAGAGGAGAGAGCGGAGAGGAGAGAGGGGAGAGGAGAGAGAGGGGAGAGAGGGGCGAGAGAGGAGCGAGAGAGAGGAGAGAGGCAGGAGCGGGGGAGAGAGGGGAGAGGGGGGAGAGAGAGAGGGGAGAGGGGGGAGAGAGGAGGGAGAGGGAGAGAGAGGGGAGAGGGAGAGGAGAGAGGAGAGAGGGGAGAGGAGAGGAGAGAGGGGAGAGGACTGATCATCCCAATCCACAAATGTGGAGACAAATTTGACCCCAATAACTACCGTGGGATATGCGTCAACAGCAACCTTGGGAAAATCCTCTGCATTATCATTAACAGCAGACTAGTTCATTTCCTCAGTGAAAACAACGTACTGAGCAAATGTCAAATTAGCTATTTAACAAATTACCGTACGACAGACCACATATTCACCCTGCACACCCTAATTGACAAACAAACCAAAACAAAGGCAAAGTCTTCTCATGTTTTGTTGATTTCAAAAAAGCTTTTGACTCAATTTGGCATGAGGGCCTGCTATACAAATTGATGGAAAGTGGAGTTGGGGGAAAAACATACACATTTCTTTCCACAGTTTAAGCCCCATCCTCTTCTACATACTGTATATATCAATGAATTGGCGAGGGCACTAGAACAGTCTGCAGCACCCGGCCTCACCCTACTAGAATCTGAAGTCAAACTTTCTACTGTTTGCTGATGATCTGGTGCTTCTGTCCCCAACCAAGGAGGGCCTACAGCAGCACCTAGATCTTCTGCACAGATTCTGTCAGACCTGGGCCCTGACAGTAAATCTCAGTAAGACAAAAATAATGGTGTTCCAAAAAAGGTCCAGTTGCCAGGACCACGAATACAAATTCCATCTAGACACCGTTGCCCTAGAGCACACAAAAAACTATAAATACCTTGGCCTAAACATCAGCTCCACAGGTAACTTCCACAAAGCTGTGAACGATCTGAGAGACAAGGCAAGAAGGGCCTTCTATGCCATCAAAAGGAACATAAAATTCAACATACCAATTAGGATCTGGCTAAAAATACTTGAATCAGTAGTTATAGAACCCATTGCCCTTTATGGTTGTGAGGTCTGGGGTCCGCTCACCAACCAAGAATTCACAAAATGGGACAAACACCAAATTGAGACTCATGCAGAGGGGAGAGAGGGGAGAGAGAGAGAGGAGAAAGAGGGGAGAGGGGGGAGAGAGGAGAGAGAGGGGAGAGGAGGGAGAGAGGAGGGAGAGGAGGGGAGGGAGAGGAGAGAGAGGGAGAGAGGAGGGGAGGGAGAGGAGAGAGAGGGGGAGAGGAGAGAGAGAGGGGAGAGGAGAGGAGAGGGTGTCCTGGCAACAACTTTCAGCAAGCGTATGAGCATCCTGGCAACAAATCAAACTTGATCTAAAGTGCATTTCACACTTCAAATAACACTCAGATCTCTTCTTCTTCCTCATCCCCTCATTCTACACACACACCTTTCTTTTCCTCTCTCCTCTCTTCCCTCGCTCTATATCTCCTTCTCTCTCCATCTCCCCCCTCTCCTCTCCCCCCTCTCCCTCCTCTCCACCTACAGTACCAGTCAAAAGTTTGGACACACCTACTCATTCAAGGGTTCTTCTTCATTTGTACTATTTTTTACATTGTAGAATAATAGTGAAGACATCACAACTATGAAATAACACATATGGAATCATGTAGTAACCAAAAAAGCGTGAAACAAATCAAAACATATTTTATATTTGAGATTCTTCAAATAGCCACCCTTTGCCTTGATGACAGCGTTGCACACTCTTGGCATTCTCTCAACCATCTTCATGAGGTAATCACTTGGAATGCATTTCAATTAACAGGTGTGCCTTCTTAAAAGTTAATTTGTTGAATTTGTATCCTTCTTAATGTGTTTGAGCCAATCAGTTGTGTTGTGACAAGGTAGGGGTGGTATACAGAAGATCGCACTATTTGGTAAAAGACCAAGTCCATATTATGGCAAGAACAGCTCAAATAAGCAAAGAGAAACAACAGTCCATCATTACTTTAAGACATGAAGGTCAGTCAATCCGGAACATTTCAAGAACTTTGAACGTTTCTTCAAGTGCAGTCGCAAAACCATCAAGCACTATGATGAAACTGGCTCTCATGAGGACCGCCACTGGAAAGGAAGACCCAGAGTTACCTCTGCTGCAGAGGATAAGTTAATTAGAGTTACCAACCTCAGAAATCGGCAATTAACTGCACCTCAGATTGCAGCCCAAATAAATGCTTCACAGAGTTCAAGTAACAGACACATCTCAACATCAACTGTTAAGAGGAGACTGCATGAATCAGGCCTTCATGGTCGAATTGCTACAAAGAAACCACTACTAAAGGACACCAATAAGAAGAGACTTGCTTGGGCCAAGATACACGAGCAATGGCCATTAGACCAGTGGAAATGTGTCCTTTGGTCTGATGAGTCCAAATTTGAGATTTCTGGTTCCAACCGCTGTGTCTTTGTGAGATGCAGAGTAGGTGAACGGATGATCTCCGCATGTGTGATTCCCACCGTGAAGCATGGAGGTGGTGGTGTGAGGGTGCTTTGGTGGTGACACTGTCTGTGATTTATTTAGAATTCAAGGCACACTTAACCAGCATGGCTGCCACAGCATTCTGCAGCGATACGCCATCCCATCTGGTTTGCGCTTAGTGGGACTATCATTTGTTTTTCAACAGGACATAACCCAACACACCTCCAGGCTGTGTAGGGGCTATTTTACCAAGAAGGAGAGTGATGGAGTGCTGCTTCAGATGACCTGGCCTCCACAAATCACCCGACCTCAACCCAACTTGAGATGGTTTGGGATGAATTGGACCGCAGAGTGAAGGAACAGCAGCCAACAAGTGTTCAGCATATGTGGGAACTCCTTCAAGCATTCTAGGTGACTACCTCATGAAGCTGATTGAGAGAACGCCAAGAGTGTGCAAAGCTGTCATCAAGGCAAAGGGTGGCTACGTTGGAGAATCTAAAATATATTTTGATTTGTTTAACACTTTTTTGGTTACTACATGATTCCATATGTGTTATTTCACAGTTTTGATGTCTTCACTATTATTCTACAATGTAGAAAATAGTACAAATGAAGAAGAACCCTTGAATGAGTAGGTGTGTCCAAACTTTTGACTGGTACTGTAGGTGGAGAGGAGAGAGAGGGGGGAGATGGAGAGAGAAGGAGATATAGAGCGAGGGAAGAGAGGAGAGAGGAAAAGAAAGGTGTGTGTGTAGAATGAGGGGATGAGGAAGAAGAAGAGATCTGAGTGTTATTTGAAGTGTGAAATGCACTTTAGATCAAGTTTGATTTGATTTGTTGCCAGGATGCTCATACGCTTGCTGAAAGTTGTTGCCAGGCCAACCATGTTGACGGTGTAGCTCACCTCGACGACCCCGTCGTACCCGGGGATGACGTTGACATTGGCTGCCTTGGCAAGAAGCTTGCTCTCGATCTTGTCGCCCATGGCATGGATGGCGTGGGTGTCAGGTCCTATGAACACCACGTCTTCTGCAGCCTGCAGGACACCAACAATAACATTACCACCATCATCATCATCACATCAGAGAATAACCATACACTGGAACCATTGAGACAGACAATCACACCTGGGTCAGTATAGAGCTGCTACCTATACCAACCTACATGATTAACAGACCAGGGTCAGTATAGAGCTGCTACCTATACCAACCTACATGATTAACAGACCAGGGTCAGTATAGAGCTGCTACCTATACCAACCTACATGATTAACAGACCTGGGTCAGTATAGAGCTGCTACCTATACCAACCTACATGATTAACAGACCAGGGTCAGTATAGAGCTGCTACCTATACCAACCTACATGATTAACAGACCAGGGTCAGTATAGAGCTGCTACCTATACCAACCTACATGATTAACAGACCAGGGTCAGTATAGAGCTGCTACCTATACCAACCTACATGATTAACAGACCTGGGTCAGTATAGAGCTGCTACCTATACCAACCTACATGATTAACAGACCTGGGTCAGTATAGAGCTGCTACCTATACCAACCTACATGATTAACAGACCAGGGTCAGTATAGAGCTGCTACCTATACCAACCTACATGATTAACAGACCTGGGTCAGTATAGAGCTGCTACCTATACCCAAACCTAGATGATGCTACCAGACACTAAGGGGTCAGTATAGAGCTGCTACCTATACCAACCTACATGATTAACAGACCTGGGTCAGTATAGAGCTGCTACCTATACCAACCTACATGATTAACCAGACCAGGGTCAGTATAGAGCTGCTACCTTAACCAACCTACATGATTAACAGACCAGGGTCAGTATAGAGCTGCTACCTATACCAACCTACATGATTAACAGACCGGGTCAGTATAGAGCTGCTACCTATACCAACCTACATGATTAACAGACCAGGGTCAGTATAGAGCTGCTACCTATACCAACCTACATGATTAACAGACCAGGGTCAGTATAGAGCTGCTACCTATACCAACCTACATGATTAACAGACCTGGGTCAGTATAGAGCTGCTACCTATACCAACACAGAACACCTGGGTCAGTATAGAGCTGCTACCTATACAACCTACATGATTAACAGACCATGGGTCAGTATAGAGCTGCTACCTATACCAACCTACATGATTAACAGACCTGGGTCAGTATAGAGCTGCTACCTATACCAACCTACATGATTAACAGACCTGGGTCAGTATAGAGCTGCTACCTATACCAACCTACATGATTAACAGACCTGGGTCAGTATAGAGCTGCTACCTATACCAACCTACATGATTAACAGACCTGGGTCAGTATAGAGCTGCTACCTATACCAACCTACATGATTAACAGACCTGGGTCAGTATAGAGCTGCTACCTATACCAACCTACATGATTAACAGACCTGGGTCAGTATAGAGCTGCTACCTATACCAACCTACATGATTAACAGACCAGGGTCAGTATAGAGCTGCTACCTATACCAACCTACATGATTAACAGACCTGGGTCAGTATAGAGCTGCTACCTATACCAACCTACATGATTAACAGACCAGGGTCAGTATAGAGCTGCTACCTATACCAACCTACATGATTAACAGACCAGGGTCAGTATAGAACTTTTTGAACTATTGTGGTTGCATTGGTTCCATTGTACCAGGCATAGCTCAAGAATTCAAACGATTTTGACATAATATTTCACAAATTTCAGTATATTCACAAATTTACATTTACATTTTAGTCATTTAGCAGACGCTCTTATCCAGAGCGACTTACAGTTAGTGCATTCCTCTTAATATAGCCAGGTGGCGCAACCTCATCCTCTTAATATAGCTAGGTGGCACAACCTCATCCTCTTAATATAGCTAGGTGGCACAACCTCATCCTCTTAATATAGCCAGGTGGCACAACCTCATCTCAGGTCACAGTCAGTACATTTTTCCTCAATAAAGTAGCTATCAGCAAAGTCAAAGCTAGTAAGTGCAAAAATAAGTAAAAAGTGTGAAATATGTCAATTATACAGGAACAACATACACAACTCCATCACAACCATTTATTTTCAGTGCTGTGTTGGGAAGTCAACACAAACCCCTTCAGCCTGTAATAGCTGAGGCCTAGTCTCCCGAGGTCCAATCTGCCCCTTATACATTACGCACCAGCCCCTGGAAACGTGGCGCTATTTAAGGCCTATAAACAGAGAAGGAAAGGGGGGCGGGAAGAGGGGAGCTTGTTCTCTCTTTCTCTACCGTTGTCTTTGTGTTGTATAGAGCCAGTTGGATATTGCTTCCTGCCTGATACACTGTGGCAGAGCCTCAGGGCCTATCGTCATGCCTACAGCAGGGCAGTAAGGCAGTGTCCCAAATGGCACCCTATTCCCTATATAGTGCACTACTTTGACTGGGCTCTGGTCAAAAGTAGTGAATTATATAGGGAATAATAGGGTGCCACTTGGGCCGTAGCCTAAGGGCCTGTTATTAGTATGGAGATTCACCCTCAACGACTCCCAATTCAGCACCGTTAAACTGAATGGTCCCTGGTTCCCATAGCACGGCCCACGGGACAAAGGCAGAGAAGAGAGGGACTCGACCCAGAGATAATTCTGCTGTTTGGAAATAATACGCTGAGCGGGACAGAGAAGAGCGGTGAAGAGAGAAAACAGATCAACAAAACCCCTACTTTAGTGAAATGATTTATTCAGTTTTACACAAACGGTATCTTCATTCTCATTTTATCAGTAGGTGGTTGGAACAAAACACTTCCAATTTGGACTCCAGACCAAAAGGACACATTTCCACCGGTCTAACGTCCATTGCTCGTGTTTCTTGGCCCAAGCAAGTCTCTTCTTCTTATTGGTGTCCTATGGTAGTGGTTTCTTTGCAGCAATTCGACCATGAAGGCCTGATTCACACAGTCTCCTCTGAACAGTTGATGTTGAGACGTGTCTGTGACTTGAACTCTGTGAAGCATTTATTTGGGCTGCAATTTCTGAGGCTGTTAACTCTAATGAACTTATCCTCTGCAGCAGAGGTAACTCTGGGTCTTTCATTCCTGTGGTGGTCCTCATGAGAGCCAGTTTCATCATAGCGCTTGATGGATTTTGCAACTGCACTTGAAAAAACATTCAAAGTTCTTGAAATGTTCCGTATTGACTGACCTTCATGTCTTAAAGCAATGATGGACTGTTGTTTCTCTTTGCTTATTTGAGCTGTTTTTTGTTGTTGTTTTTTTAGCTGTTCTTGCCATAATATGGACTTGGTCTTTTACCAAATAGGGCTATCTTCTGTATACCCCCCCTTCCATGTCAAAACACAACTGATTGGCTCAAACACATTAAGAAGGAAAGAAATTCAACAAATTAACTTTTAAGAAGGCACACCTGTTAATTGAAATGCATTCCAGGTGACTACCTCATGAAGCTGGTTGAGAGAATGCCACGAGTGTGCAAAGCTGTCATCAAGGCAAAGGGTGGCTATTTGAAGAATCTCAAATATAAAATATATTTTGATTTGTTTCACACTTTTTTGGTTACTACATGATTCCATATGTGTTATTTCATAGTTTTGATGTCTTCACTATCATTCTACAATGTAAAAAATTGTACAAATAAAGAAAAACCCTTGAATGAGTAGGTGTTCTAAAACTTTTGACTGGTAGTGTATGCCTCATCACAATTCTATCACAGAGATCTACGGACAGTTCCTTGGACTTCATGGTATAGTTTCTGCTCTGTCAACTGTGGGACCTTATATAGACAGGTGTGTTTCTTTCTAAATAATGTCCAAACAGGTGGCCACAGGTGGACTCCAATCAAGTTGTAGTGACATCTGAAGGATTATCAAAAGGAAATTGGATACACCCGAGCTCAATTTGGAGTGTCATAGCAAAGGGGTGTGAATACTTATGTAAATGAGATATCTGTATTCAATTTCAATACATTTGCAAAAATGTCAACAACAAAAAATGTAACTGCCATTATGGGGTATTGTGTGTAAATGGGTGAGAGAAAAAATTATATTTAATCAATTTTGAATTCAAGCTGTAACAACAAAATGTGGAATAAGTCAAGGGGTATGAATACTTTCTGAAGGCACTGGTACAACTCCATCTTTCTAACCTATTTTAACCATATCTAGACAAACACACCACCCTTATGAAAACTACTCTAGATGAGGACCTACAATGACAAACACACAACCTATCATCCTTTAGACGAGGACAAACACACAACCTATCGTCCTTTAGATGAGGACAAACACACAACCTATCGTCCTTTAGACGAGGACACACAATGACAAACACACAACCTATCATCCTCTAAATCAGGGTTTCCTAAACTCGGTTATTTGAATCAGCGCAAAAAACAAAACGTGCACCCGGGGGAGGGGCCCCAGGATCAACTCATCATCAAGCTTTGATTATATGAAAAAACAAAACATACACCTGGGGGGGGAAGGGGGGGGGGGGGGCAGGACCGAGTTTGGGAAACCCTGATCTAAATGAGGACACACAATGACAAACATTTATCCACCCTCCCTCCTCTGGTGCCATGTTGTGAAATCTCACTATTTAATGACAATAAACCTGCCTGAGCCTTTTCAGACCTCACTCATCCTCTCACGTCCAAACGGCTGTTCTTAACACACTAGTGAGTGGAGCCCCACACACCATCCTACCAGGCGCAAACAAATGAAGAGCCTCCAACAATAAGAGAGGGCCTAAGTGGCCGCCTAAGTTAAGTGGGTGCATGTGTCCTAGCGTGCTCAACGGAAGTGTGAAATGCTTGTGTTTGTCTGCAGAGTCCCAAAATAATTAAAATGTATTTTAAATGGAGGGGATCCACCGACGCATTGAGGGACGGACAATACATTGTTCTATACTCCATCCATCCATCCCTCCCTCCCTCCATCCATCCCCCGTATTCCTTCACTCTATTCAGCCTGAGGTTCTTTCTCATGCTAACAGAACCCTAATCTCCCCCTCCCCTCCAGCTTCACCCCCTATCACCCAGCCCAGAGCCATACGGACCCACCCCCCCCCCAACCCCCTCAGAGCGCTTTGCAATGCGTAAACCTTGCACTAACTATTCACCCGCTGTTACAGGAGGGGGAGGCCCATTGAGCTGCTAATGTAATGACATCTCCATTTCCACAGCAGGCTCCCAGAGGGCAGTGGACGGCCTAGTGGACGGCCCACTCACATACAGAGCCTCGTTCCAGGACAGCACAATAGGAATGGGGGACGGGAGATATTGGGCATTGGGCTTGATTCAAAACATGGGAGCGGGTAGGAGATTTTTAGTTGACAATTAAGTAAAATATGCCATTTACCTGTGGGATTAGCTTCAATGTACAATGGCCCACCTTCGGGTGCCTTGCATGATATGCCACAATGGGAGTGGGGAATGGGAGGGAGAGATGTCGGGGTTGATTTAGGACATTGAATGATGGTGGGAGAGGTACTTAGTTAACCATGAGGTAAATATGTATGCCATTTACCTGTGGAACTAGGTGAGGTTTAGCTTCGACATAGTAACACAGCCTTGCATAATGGCATGGTTCCATGGCCTTGCATGATATGCCATGTAAGCAGCTTTATAGTGAGTTAAAGTGTGGGGGGAAACTAGTGCATCATCAGCTAAATGTCTGAGGGGTCTTGTGTCTGTCTGCAGGCCATCGGGTATGTAATGTGGGGGTATAACTGTGAAAACTTTTTTATTTTAAGTAAATTACTTAAAATAATTTGAAAGACGGTGTTAATTTTCTTATCATCAAGTGAGCCTTTTGGTGTCTGTGTGTTAAATTTTCAAATCAGGTTTTCACCCGGAGAATCACACCCTTAATAAAATTAACTTCAGGGGGTGCCGAGGCCTGTTGATAAGGGAAACAGAGGGGGATATTGAGAGAGGGGGAGAGAGAGAGAGAGAGCTGTGTGTGTTCCCAAGACTTGGAAATCCCAGCACTACTCACCAGTCTCTTGGCAAACTCTTTATTTTCAGACAGAAAGCCGTAGCCCGGATGCACCTTCAGAAACATAAGAGAAAAGAAAAGGCGCAAAACATTAGATATTATATTAATACTATATTTATATATATTATTATTATTAGCGAACATAACCGTGTGTGTGTTTTTTTGTTGTTGTCATTTTAGCAGATGCTTTTATCCAGAGCGACTTACAGATAGTGAGTGCATACATTTTCATACTGGCCCCCCGTGGGAAACGAACCCACAACCCTGCGCCATGCTCTACCAACTGAGCTACAGGTGTGTGTGTAAATGTTGGTGTGTGTGTGTGTTTAAATGTTGGTGTGTGTGTGTGTGTTGTGTGTGTGTAAATGTTGGTGTGTGTGTGTATTGTGTGTTTAAATGTTGGTGTGTGTGTGTATTGTGTGTTTAAATGTTGGTGTGTGTGTGTATTGTGTGTTTAAATGTTGGTGTGTGTGTGTTGTGTGTTTAAATGTTGGTGTGTGTGTGTGTTGTGTGTTTAAATGTTGGTGTGTGTGTGTTGTGTGTTTAAATGTTGGTGTGTGTGTTGTGTGTTGTGTGTTTAAATGTTGGTGTGTGTCTGTTGTGTGTTTGTTGTGTGCGTATCTGTGTGTGTGTCAATGTGTGTCATGAAACTCACGGCCTGGGATCCAGTCTTCCTGATGGCGTCCATAATGGCTTCCATGTTGAGGTAACTCTTGTTGGTGGGGGCGGGGCCTACACACACCGCCTCGTCAGCCATCTTCACATGGACCTGGAAAATCAAGGAAATAGGACCAGGAGCGGCACAGAGAATCAAGGAAATAGGACCTGGAGCGGCACAGAGAATCAAGGAAATAGGACCTGCATTGGCACAGAGAATCAAGGAAATACGACCTGCATCGGCACAGAGAATCAAGGAAATAGGACCTGCAACGCGCACAGAGAATCAAGGAAATAGGACCTGCATCGGCACAGAGAATCAAGGAAATAGGACCTGGATCGGCACAGAGAATCAAGGAAATAGGACCTGGATCGGCACAGAGAGAAACAACAATATTAAAGATGAAAAGAGGAAGCCAAAGCATCAATCATATGGTACACTGGCACTGCAACCAAATGGCACTGCAACCAAATGGCACTGCAGACACTGGCACTGCTACCAAATGGCACTGCAGACACTGCTACCAAATGGCACTGCAGACACTGCTACCAAATGGCACTGCAGACACTGCTACCAAATGGCACTGCAGACACTGCTACCAAATGGCACTGCAGACACTGCTACCAAATGGCACTGCAGGTGCTGCAGGTTGAACGGGATCTTAAGCACTTACAAATTCTTAACATATTGTACGAATTGGAATTCGTAACATATATGAATTACAGGAGACATTTTGTTTTTTTTGCTGGACCTAACATATTACACTAAATGGATGACGTTGTGCCCAATTTTCAGTGACCCGTTTTGGCTATTGAGCACTACTGGCTGAAATTGTACAAAACCTCTGTAGCATCATTTTAAATAACTTTAGACAGAAATATTCAAGAGGACAAACTGTCCAAAGCACCAACTGTGGTACATTCATCTGACACAGACGTTGTCTGTTAAGTTAAAGAAGCTGTAAAAAGGAAGGAATTCTTCATTGGGTGAGTGTGATGTTTTGAAGACACAACATCAAGGCCAGGCGGCCATATTATCTTCTAAATCTCACATCACCAGCATCGCCCCAACACCCCCCCATGGAGACAGACCCTCAGCAGATTGAGTGACAGACACTGTCACCACCAGGACACATTCCACGGGATTAACATCAACATCTGGATCAACAAGGTGGCAGAAGGAGAGAGTGTGTGTGGGTCGGGGGGAGGGAAGGGGGTTATAGGCCAGTTGGTTCCCTGCGTCTCTTAACAAAGAAGTGCTAAGGGAGGCATCATGTCTGCTCTACACACCTAAACAACACTTAAAAACCTGTACAACACATCCACAGGTCAATGGGACTTCACTATTACCTGCTCCATCTTACAGGCCGTACTTGGTCCATTACATTGACATACACCTGGTCCATCTTACAGGCCGTACTTGGTCCATTACATTGACATACACTTGGTCCATTTTACGGGCCGTACTTGGTCCATTACATTGACATACACCTGGTCCATCTTACGGGCCGTACTTGGTCCATTACATTGATATACAGCTGGTCCATTGACATACATTTACATTTTAGTCATTTAGCAGACGCTCTTATCCAGAGCGACTTACAGTTAGTGAATGCATACATTTTCATACTGGTCCCCCATGGGAATCGAACCCACAACCCTGGCGTTGCAAGCACCATGCTCTACCAACTGAGCTACACGGGACATACAACAGTATTAACATTAACATCCACTGTAGGGACTCCGGAGGACATTTTGGTGGGTAGTCAACAGTCCCCCATTTACCCCTTGAGTCATGGTCAACGTTTCGGAATGTTTGTCACCTTGGCGACTAGAGGAGCCCAATAAACAACCGTGTCTACCCGCCTGTCTGCCCAAAAGAGAGGCTTAGTGCTGGGATGTCAATATTACACCCAGTTAAAGGCCTACTATTTGATTTATACAGCCTTTAAATACAACCTACCTTCTCATTTAGGCACACCACAATACCTCTGGCTGTATGGGGTCAATATAACACAAAACAATACCTCTGGCTGTGTGGGGTCAATAACACACCACAATACCTCTGGCTGTATGGGGTCAATATAACACACCACAATAACCTCTGCGGTATGGGGTGGTCATATAACACCACCACAATACTCTGGCGGTCTGGGGTCACTACCACAACAATACCTCTGGCTGTAGGGGTCAATATAACACACCACAATTAACTCTGGATGTATGGGAGTCAATATAACACACCACAAAGTTACATCTGCTGTATGGGGTCAACTATAACACCCACAATACCTCTGGCTGTATGGGGGTAATATTAACAAACCACAATACCTCTGGCTGTGTGGGGTCAATAACACACCACAATACCTCTGGCTGTATGGGGTCAATATAACACACCACAATACCTCTGGCTGTATGGGGTCAATATAACACACCACAATACCTCTGGCTGTATGGGGTCAATATAACACACCACAATACCTCTGGCTGTATGGGGTCAATATAACCAAAACACCACAATACCTCTGGCTGTAGGGGTATATAACACACACATACACACCACAATACCTCCGAGTGGCGCAGGGTCTAAGGCGCTGCATCGCGTGTAGTGGGCCATTTAGAGATCCTGGTTCGAATCCAGGGTCTGTCGAGCTGGCACGTGACCGGGAGCCATGGGGCGGCGCCACAATAGCCCGGCGTCGTCCAGGGTAGGAGGGAATGGCCGGCAGGGATTAGAACACAACCAGGGGTGGGTTCATTAGGACACTATGTAAGTCGCTCTGGATAAGAGCGTCTGCTAAATGACTAAAATGTAAAAAATGTATATCTGGTAGGGGTCAATATAACACACAATACCTTGGCGTATGGGTCATAAAACACAAACATACCTCTGGCTGTATGGGGTCATATACACCACATACTCCTATTATAAACACCACAATACCTCTGCTGTATGGGTCAATAACACCAACTCTACAGGCCAGACAGACTTACCACGCTGGCATAATCCCATAACACCAACTCTACGCAGCACTTACAGTGGCTCAACCACGCTGGCCATCAACTCCCTTATACAACTCTCAACTCTACTCAGCCCAGGACAGACTTTACCACGCTTGGCATCAACCTCCCATATACCCACCAACTCTACAGGCCAGACAGACTTACCACGCTGGCATCAACATCCCCTATATACACCAACTCTACAGGCCCAGACAAGACGTACCAGCTGGCATCAACATCCTATATACACCAACTCTACAGGCCAGACAGACTTACCAAGCTGGCATCAACATCTCCTATACAACAACCAACTCTACAGGCCAGACAGACTACCACCACGCTGGCATCAACATCCCCTATATACACAACTCGACAGGCAAGACAGACTACCAATCTGGCATCAACATCCCCTATATACACCAACTCTCCAGGCCCAGACAGCCTTTACCAAGCTGGCATCACATCTCCTATACACAACACCAACTCTACAGGCCAGACAGACTTACCAACGCTGGCATCAACATCCCCTATATACACCAACTCTACAGGCCAGACAGACTTACCAACTGGCATCAACATCCCCTATATACACCAACTCTACAGGCCAGACAGACTTACCAAGCTGGCATCAACATCCCCTATATACACCAACTCTACAGGCCAGACAGACTTACCAAGCTGGCATCAACATCCCCTATATACACCAACTCTACAGGCCAGACAGACTTACCAAGCTGGCATCAACATCCCCTATATACACCAACTCTACAGGCCAGACAGACTTACCATGCTGGCATCAACATCCCCTATATACACCAACTCTACAGGCCAGACAGACTTACCACGCTGGCATCAACATCCCCTATATACACCAACTCTACAGGCCAGACAGACTTACCAAGCTGGCATCAACATCCCCTATATACACCAACTCTACAGGCCAGACAGACTTACCAAGCTGGCATCAACATCCCCTATATACACCAACTCTACAGGCCAGACAGACTTACCAAGCTGGCATCAACATCCCCTATATACACCAACTCTACAGGCCAGACAGACTTACCAAGCTGGCATCAACATCCCCTATATACACCAACTCTACAGGCCAGACAGACTTACCAAGCTGGCATCAACATCCCCTATATACACCAACTCTACAGGCCAGACAGACTTACCGCGCTGGCGTCAACGTCACTGTGCACCGCCACTGTTTTGATGCCCATCTTCTTACATGTTTTCATCACCTGCCAGAGGCAAAGAAGACATGTTATCAACTTTTATTCAATACATCAATAATAATTGGCTTTAATGTTTACGATCTGCAATAGGCGCAGTCGAAAGATGTAACATAGTGTAGCTTATGAGGGCTTTCATCCTGTCTCTGTCTTTTAATCAGAGAGCCAGTGTTGGTTAGTTAACATAGCGAAGTCTTACCCTGCAGGCGATCTCTCCTCTGTTTGCAATAAGGATCTTATCAAAGGTCTAGTAAGGTGAAAGGGAAAAAAGAGATTAGTTTGGGAAGTCGTTGTCACAACAAATAATTTGCTCCTGTGTGTGTGTGTGTACCAGTAAACACGTAGGAACACAGTAAGTGAAAGCGTCTGGTTCTGTCAGTCTTTCCGTTCCTCTGGTCTGAACACCTTATTAAACTCTGAGCGTCTTTCCTCTATCCCCTCTTACCACGCCCCCCCCCCCCCCTCTTACCACGCCCCCCCCCCCCCCCTCCCCCCCCCCACTCACAGCTCAACCTCCTGCCTGTCCTACTGCTAAACACTATGGCCAGAGGCAAGGTTGGCATGGTGGTTTGAAGATCAAAGACCAAAGCTAGGAGGATGTGACATGTTGTTTATATTGGGGATTGAGGGAAATGAAGGTTTCCCCTTATAACATTTAGAGAGACAGAGACAGAAAGCATATACTCTTTAAGCAACAAATAAATATATTCTGTGTTACTCAGGTTCATGTCATGGCTTTCAAAGGTTTGTCAACACAAAGTACTGTTTTTAATCAGAGGTTTGTCAACACAAAGTACTGTTTTTAATCAGAGGTTTGTCAACACAAAGTACTGTATTAAATCAGAGGTTTGTCAACACAAAGTACTGTATTTAATTTCCATACAGAACTACTCATATCCTTCCTTGCATCATGTGACAGCCCTGCCCCCAGTGAGCCATACAGAACTACTTCTATCCAATGTTCCCTCTAAACTGAGCGCGTGCAGCAAGGCCGAGTACCTCCTCCTCCTCCTCCAGGACTGCCATGCCGCGCAGAGACGCAAGAGATTGAACTTCACCCCATTAGTTTGCCCTATATAGATAAAAAAAAATATGTCTGTGTTCGAATCAACATTATATCAGCCCCTTTTCAATGCAACAAGCCAAAACAAATCTAACTTTGCAAGATTGAGTCTGTGGTTTGATAGTAGCCAGAGCCAGAGCACAACGGAGTAGAATCCTATTGGCGGGGGGGTAGCCCACGGGCCATCTTTCAATCACCTGCCAGTGAATGCGCTTTTCAGATCAGTTCATATCAGAGCCACGCATCTGCACATTTGTTAGCCCCAGGGCCATCTTTCAATCACCTGCCAGTGAATGCGCTTTTCAGATCAGTTCATATCACAGCCACGCATCTGCACATTTGTTGATATTCTTTGCTAGTTAGCGAGTTATTAGCCCAGTTATACATAAGTATAGGTCAGCAATGGGGAGTTACTGCTTCCTACAAGAGAACAAAACGTGTAGGCTACATTTCAAGCTGTCTTTGAAAAGCCAGTCAGATAATAAGCTTATGTCTTAATTAAAGAGGCAGTGTTGTATTTTGAGACAGGCTTGAATATGCAAATAAGACAATAGGCAGAGGGGTAGCCTACATTGTCTAATTATCTGTATGGTAATAATAATTAATATTATTTTGTAAAGTGGTTTCTTGCATCATACAACACAATACAATGCAATTTACAGTCACATATTTGGCCCATGGTGTTACAAACCAAGTAAAAAAAATCTATAATTAATGTCAATCCCTTCATAATGTAAAAAACGTTTTCAAAAGTCTCATGCAATGTAGGCCTGCATTGAACACCACATATAGGCTACTGTAGGCTATATCATAGAAATCAAAAGCTATTTCCATGTGAAAACGTTTTGGGATTTGCTCCATTGGTTTTGTTGGTAGGCCTACATTATGCTCAAATAGCCACAATAACCTGTTGGCTACTGTCTAAAACTGTAAGGGTAAAGCCTGTTGGCTACTGTCTAAAACTGTAAGGGTAAAGCCTTTGTCCACTGTAAACGCTCGCCGGAAGTTGCACAAAATTCTCACAACTTTCCGCTCACAAGACCTGAAATGTGCTCAGTGCCCCAAAAAATGAGGGAACAAGGCTCCTATCCTTCCATGCATCATTGTGACAGCCCTGCGCCCAGTAAGTAATATGTTACCTTCTCATTGGCATCATAAACAGTGGAGTACTGTACTCGACTGGACACCACACAGCATCTGGACTGGAAAGAGGCATGCTGCAGGGAAACATTTCAGAAACATTAACGTTATAGTACCACACTCAAACATCAGAAACACCACTCTTCGCTATTCTTTATAATGGGCAAATGCCGCACATCACAAAGAGCTGAAGGTTATACGTGATGGCAGCTGTCTTGTTTCTATTACACCAATAGCGGCCAGAATTGCTGAGCTGGAAAGAAGTCATATCCCGATATACGATAGCTGTTCAGGTCACAACGTTACATTCAAGGACAGTTTTTCATTCAAAGACAGCTACATTTAGTCATGTGGTGAAAGTTCAACCAGTTCAGGCTTGTGTTATGAAGTGTGACTTATTAGCAAGATGCTAACGGTTTGGACGCTTTGACATTGACAGAGGAGGAATGGACGAAGCTATTCATTCTCTAATACGAATATAACAAACATTAACACCACGAAATACAATACTGAAATGTCAGATAGAGTAGGGAATGCTTACATCTTACAAACTACCAAAGAAGAGAGACGGCTGGAGTGAAGGTTTGTGAATGAGACGGACTTGCTAGCGAACAGACATCCGATTGTGTTGTGCTAGAAACTTGCAGTAAAAGCATAGATTTTCGGGTGTTTCGGTTTTGCAAGAGCTCTTCGTGAATTTGAAATAACTAGCTACAAGAGTAAGGTTGCAATAACTGACAGCTCACCTTAGCAGCAAGCAAAACTCTTTGCAGGGTTGGAGTGATCATGTACGCCGCCATGTCTGTCGGGGTGAGGGAGTGACGTTGATAGGGGCGTATGCTCCGTCTTCCAATCAAATCGAGTTATCGTACGTAGACGTACGTACGTACATCCGTAGAGTTTGAGGGATTACATTTGTTCCACTGTATTTAGCTGTAATTGATCATACAGTAACCTACTTTTATAATGTAAGTGTCGTCTTACTTCTGTGTCCATCTATTTTCTCACCTGTTTTCTTACCTTTTCAAATGATACGAACAACAATTATGTTGAATATTATCAACATAGTGGGCCTCTAGTGAAATGTGGAATTTGTGAACTTTTACAGTGATAAGCCTAGAAGAAATCCATTACATAATTATATATTTTCTAAATGTAATTTTAGTGTCATACATTCAGTAGAATACAGTCACGCACAATATCAATGTATCTTCATTATTATCTGGAAATGGGGACAAAATCTATAAAAACTGAAATGATGCAATTGGGTCTATTTCCGGGTTTATTCCAATCAAATCAAATCAAATTGTATTGGTCACATGCGCCGAATACAACAGGTGCATACATTACAGTGAAATGCTTACTTACAAGCCCTTAACCAACAGTGCATTTATTTGGGGTAGCCTATAGGCTTCTTTCTCCAACTCTTTTACCGTTCTTTCCTGCTGTCTATTCTTTCTCGTTATTGTCCACTGCAATGACAGGTATAAAAACAGAATGTAGCAGGCCTTGTAAATTCCAACCTGTCAAAAATGACTGGGTCTGGTTTACAGTATTATGTATGGTTCTGCGGCCAAATAACTGACTGTTGTCTTTCCCCATGTTAGGGATGCACACACCCACAGCTCCAGATCAGGTGTTGCTAATGTATGCTTCTACAGGTTCAGGAGTAATGCTGAGAGAGGTACCTTCTTGTAGAAGGAGCCTCACAGTGGGATGAGTTGCCTCTGCCCATAAAAACGACGTCCTCTCTGGGCAGCTTTAAAAAGAAGGTTAGAAACTGTCATGTCTTCTGTGCCCATATAAATGTCACTTACGATGTAACTGCAATAATTAAATAAATGTTTGTATGTTTTTTTTGTATCTCGCTGCCATACTGTGTCCAACCGTGTTGCCGGTCTTGCCTAGCCATCTCGTCACAACAGGACCACAATGGAAAAAAGACCCGAGCCGTGTTCGAATACTCATACTAACCGCACTATTTGTGACGTAAATCGAGTATGTAGTATACAGTATGTTAGTATGGGTATTCGAACACAGCTCCAGACTTTGTTATCCTCGATGATTTTACTCGTGTGCTTATTTTTAAAATTGTCGAATTAATAAACTAAAGGGGTCTCATTTCAATGACCATTAAAAAAAAATATGAAATAACAAAACAAGTTGTATTTCTCATAAACAATAATTTGTGGTGATCAATCCAAGTTGTCCTGCCATATTATGGATTAAGTAAGAATTTTTAAAAAAACTATTGGAGCTCCAAATAAATAATAAATAATTGATGATTCTGAAAAGATCCATGATAATTTATCATATATAATCAATAATGTGTACATATACAATTTAAACTTGTATATAAATTCCATATCATACTTGTTGGTGCAAGGAGCCGCCATTCAAAATGACCTGTGTTTTAATGCACCACATTCACAGAGCGCCACGAATTAAAAAAGGAACGTAGACAGGCATTTTAAAAATCAGATTCATTTTATTAACACGTTTGGAAACAGAATTACATCAAAGTAACACAGCAGTTTTCTTTTTATATAAATTATGTCTCAACTATAGGCATCTCAAGAGGTCGTTCATGGAGGACAACGAATATTCAACCTTTTCAAGTCATACCCCCCAAATCCCGTTAACTTCAACAAAAACTTGTTTCCAATAAAATAATTGTGCACAATTAAACTGAGGTTAACTTTGGCACTTATTTAAAATACTTTAAAATATTTCATGGTCAAATCACAAACTCCCAATCAACTACAAAAATAACCGCCCCCAAAATGACAACGAAAGACTGATATGAGAATCATAATACTGATAATTCAACAACCAACGAAAGAAATAACGTTTTTTGACATCAGACATTTTCTTCTTTGGCTTCCAATGTTTTAGTGCAACGTTCTTGAGTCATATTTCAATCGCGCGTAAAGCGTCCATTTAGGCCAGTCAGATGCTCATTGTCGTTTTGCTTCATTTTTTTGCGGTCGTTTTCCCGTTACTCTTGAGTGTGGTCCTCCTCAGACATACCACTCACTGAAGTTGGACGAGAGGTTGCTGTGTCCGCTACTGAGGACCGCAGAGTCCGGGGACATGTTGCTCTGGGTCTCCGAGGCAGGGGACACTAAACCCGGGGGCGTCGAGGACTCATACCCGCTGCTGGCTCGGGGCGACGTGTCTGCTACTGACAGAGAATCATGCACCTGAAAGAAATAAAAACAAATCCGTCAAAAAACACTCTCTCAAAAATGACCACAATTTCGACACAAAGGTTTCCACACTTTTGTCACCGAACAAAGGTGTCCAGGAGAAGCATATTTTGGTAATGAGAGAAAATGGACCTTCATATGTTTTCTCAGAGAGCTGGGGTGTGTGTAGGACTTGTCACACATCTTGCACAGATAGGGCTTGTCAGACGTGTGAACGTGCAGGTGTTTTTTGCGGTCACTGCTGTTTGCGAAGCGTCTGTCGCAGCCGAAGAAATCACACATGAACGGTTTCTCCCCTGGAAGAGAACAAAATGAGGAATTTAAATATGTTTGTTGGTATAAATACAGTCACAGTTGTTCTCAAAATATCTGATACAATTTAGTTATAGGCCCTGCAGATAAAACCCAAAGCACATCACCAAATAAAACATGGGAGAGTTATGCATAATTTTTTGAAGGCCATTTGCCTATAAACTTTCTAAATAACCTCACTCCATATAAAACTCAATCAGATATCTAAAACAGAAGTTTATATCCATGAGATATTCAACCTGCAGACATATTTCTTTTGGAATTACCTGTGTGCGTCCTCTTGTGTATCTTCAAGTTCTCCGAGCGCGCAAAGACCTTGCTGCATCCGGGGAACGGGCACGGGAAAGGCTTCTCTCCAGTGTGCACCCGAATATGATTCACCAGCTTGTATTTGGCCTTGAACGATTTGTTCTCGCGCGGGCACTCTTCCCAGAAGCAGGTGTGGCTACTCTGCTCGGGCCCACCGACATGCTCCACGGAGACGTGCGTAACCAGCTCGTGCATGGTGCCGTAGGTCTTGCCACAGCACCGGCTCGCCCCTCCGGGCTGGTCCGGGTCTATCCACTTGCAGATCAACTCTTGTTTGATGCACTGCTGCCGCATGAAGCGGAAGAACGCGGCTGGGTGATGATGGTGGTGAGCTGCCATGCCCATGTTGAGACCCATGGCCCCATATTGGCCGTAAGGGTCGCTCCTTGGTCCGGAAACATGGTGATACTGGTCCGCTCTACCGAACACCTCCCCTGGTAGTCCCAGCCGGCCGCCCAGCACGTTAGCAGAGCCGTGGTGCTGGTCGTGCATCCCGGGAAAGAGGAGGTGTCCATGCCCCTGGCCCTCGACGTGTGAGTGATGGAGGGACCCAGCCATAGTCCTGAGGAGAGAGTGCTGATCGCTGGCAGGGGAAGAGTCTCCGAATCCCCGGTTGCGCATGATAAAGTCCCGTGTGGAGTTGGCGTAGGATGGGCCATACCCGGGTCCCTGGGTGGCGATGTGGACCGACTCCATAAAGCTGGGGTCTCTCTCCTGCATCTCGGCTGGTGAATGCACTGAGTGGTGCCTTTGGAACGCGCTCGCACTGACCCCTGTGCCTGAGTGCTGGTGACCTCCCTCCAACAGCATCACAGCACGAGCCTGGGCTCGATGAATGGAACGATGCGCAAAGTAAATATTTGAACTGTACGCGTGCGTAGAAAGCGGTTGAAGAAGTGTCCAAAAGCTCTAAATAAAAAGATGTTTCATTCTCAAATGAGGACTCAATATCTTGCTGCAAAACATAAGCCAGAGAATTCCTAAGCACCCTAAGGAGCAAAAACGCCTGCAAGCTATGAATGGATAGTTTTGCAGGAGTCTCAACAGGAATGTACCTGGAATTAATAAAGGTCTTGTGGCTCCGTGGTGTATCTTCAGAATGCTGTTTGTAAGTATGACTGTTCCCTACAACGTTAAAATGCTTATCCCAGGGTCTTCAATGGGCACTTCTTACCTCCCCTTTTTACAGAACCCCGGGTGTTCCCCAAACGCACTCTGATTTGCCACAGCAGCTAATCGATCCCAGCCATTCCACCAATTACAGGCAAGCATCTCGTGACTAATCGATGCTTGCTCCGCCCATGTTCTATTACTATGGAAAGTCTTAACGGGAAAATTACTCATTTTAGGTGAAATCTTGAAACATAAACTAGTCACTTCATTTACGTTGCTTGCATGCTGAATAGTGATATGAAAAAAATATGTATTCAGTTGTGTGGAAAGTATATATTTTCACTCACACACACACAAGCGTTTAATACATTTTGCAAGCTAACCACATGTTATGGCAGATCAAAGGTCAAATCTGTTTTAACTGATGCACCTCAGCCATACAATTTCGTTAGGCCTAAATAAAAAACCCAAGGATATTTATGTTTCAAGTGAATAAAATGGACTTACAGCAAGGAGAAAAACGACCCCAAAAAGTTACATTGCTCCATGGTTACAGTTAAGCACGGCACTACCTCTTTGTCCTGCTGGCAACACCACAGGAGTGAGTCAAGTTCAAAGGCAGCCCTGCAGCTCTGCGGTTGGAGGGAAAAAAACAACCTTTCAGTCTGAGAGAATGAAGTGTCTCTATGGACACATAAAACATTAACCCTGCCCTGTTAGAGGCTCAGAGGAAAATGCAAGAAAACCGTTTTTGGACCAAAATAACATTGGAAATGTTTGAAATCTGATTCCAAATTATTAGCAGAATCTTCAAGAGACTTTAATTTTGGAACATAACATGGCATCCCATGTTGCTCACTGTCCACTGAATGTGTTAAACCATATAATGAATGAAAAGTGGATATTCTGCAAACGCAATATTTGATATTCTATTGTCAATTCAATTCTGTGACAAATGTCCAAGGAAAAGATATAGGCTATAACAAAACCAAACGTGGCAAAAGAAAACAACGTTTATTTTTGTTAATCGGGGGAGAAACAAATCCATCAGCCAACATTGATTACATTTGAAGTAGGCCTGGCTTCTCATGATAGGCTATAGAGGGCATTGAGATATGCATATGTGGGCCCGGCCTGTAGATGCCACAGATGTTCACTTGGCAAGCGTCCTCATGCTTACCACTGGGGGCGCATCTCAATAATTCTGAGTATATTCTCATCTCCTTTCCTTCGTCTCCACTGATCTGAAAAGACTGGAGTGAGGAAAGAAATCCCCTTCATCCGCCATATTGCTTTCTTGTGTTTTTCAGATCAGTGCCGCCTGAGCTGAGGAAGAGGAGATGAAGAGAGGACGCCATTTTACAACATTGGGATACAGCCATAGATCTGCGAGTTTTTCTTACAGCTATGGGGGGACGGACCACCTGGTTCTAACCGGGTTTACGGCCAATTTACAGAATATGCTTCATGCCCCTCAGTAGTCCAAAACCTGGGCGGACCGCGTTAAGATCCACGTGGTTTCCCCAAATCAGCGCGGTTTCTGTCTACAGCTACAGGAAGCATAAAGGACGGAGAACGGTAAGGCAGCCAGCTCGAGGCCCGTCTCTACTACCATGCAGCGGCCGGGTGGTCGCCATCGCCACAATGGCCACTCTCTGCTCCGCAATAACAATTCCATGGCCTCATACATCGCTTCTCCTCCGCCGCGCGCTGCCTCCACCGGCGCCTATGCGGAATACTCCAACAACAACAACAACAGGCCTATAAAGCCCGAGCTGGTCTGCAAATGGACGGACCACGAGCACCGTGACCGAACTTCAAAACAAAGGATATGCGACCAAACTTTCAGCTCCATGCACGAGCTGGTGGACCACGTAAGCACCGAGCACGTCGCTGGGCTCGAGCCCCTGAGCCATGTTTGTATGTGGGAAAAATGCCTGAGAGAAGGAAAGGCGTTTAAAGCCAAATATAAACTGATCAACCACATCAGGGTACACACTGGGGAGAAACCATTCTCCTGCACTTTCCCAGACTGCGGGAAAGTGTTCGCTCGGTCGGAAAACCTCAAGATTCACACGCGCACGCACACAGGTATGTAGATTATGTTCCATAAAGGACACTGGGAATGCCAAAAAAGAACCTACCTTTTCGTCTCCTTCAGTCCATAGTGAAAGGTTGTTATTCTACATAGCGTCATTGGGCCTATACTAAAACTAAACAATTGGACAACATTTCTGATGATATACAGTAGGTCAGTCACTGCTTGCCAGACATGCAGAACACGTCATCATGTTGACATGTTCCACACACCGTCCTATTCAGGAAGTAGCCTGATTGTGGAGTAGCAGGTTACATTGTGTGGTGGGGTTTGCCCATTGACAAGAAGCAAAGGACCTTAAAGGAGAGCCAGTGAAGCAAGCTGTAGAAAAGGGATGTTGTTCTCAATCAGTGAAGTGACACTGTTTGCCATATTTCACGCAGCTCCACCAACTCCAAGCTGACAGATGGTGCATGGTAAAAGCAGTAGGGTGGACCTTGTATGTTGTGTTGAAGATGTTTAGTCTTGTGACTGATATCATGTGACATTCTATTTCCTCCCCATAATATCTTCACCTCTTTTTCTAGGTGAGAAGCCATTTCAATGTGAGTTCACCGGCTGCCTGCGGAAATTTGCCAACAGCAGTGACCGTAAGAAGCACTCGCAGGTCCACACCAGCGCCAAACCGTACGACTGCAAGGCCCACGGCTGCTTCAAGTCCTACACACACCCCAGCTCCCTCAGAAAACACATGAAGATCCACCTCAACGCACTCAAGTCCTCTCCTACCTCGGAACCCATAGACCTGTCATTCACAGGGATTCTTGGGAAACGTAGTTCCCGGGATTATGTAGCTTCGCGGACTAACTGCTCATCTTCTAGGCTCTCGCTGCCTCCGGCGGTGTCCAACATTAAGGAGTGGTACGTGTGTACCAGGACCACAGGTCAGGGACAGAACTACCTCCAACTCACAGCAGATGAGATCAAGTCAGAGCCATGTAGCGGTGATGAGGAGTATTATAATACGACGTAGCAGCAGGACAATGCTTTGCAGTATGGACTGTGTGAACTACAATGAATCCCAAATACAGGGATAGAACTGGAAGATGAACACAACATACGTCCCCTGTCAATATGGAGATGTGGTGAACACAACATACGTCCCCTGTCAATATGGAGATGTGGTGAACTCAACATACGTCCCCTGTCAATATGGAGATGTGGTGAACACAACGTACGTCCCCTGTCAATATGGAGATGTGGTGAACACAACGTACGTCCCCTGTCAATATGGAGATGTGGTGAACACAACGTACGTCCCCTGTCAATATGGAGATGTGGTGAACACAACGTACGTCCCCTGTCAATATGGAGATGTGGTGAACACAACGTACGTCCCCTGTCAACATGGAGATGTGGTGAACACAACATACATCCCCTGTCAATATGGAGCTGGACAGATGTGATGGAGACTTGCTGTATGTGTGAATGTCTGGGCCAGTATTCATAAAGCGTCTCACAGCGTAAGAGTGCTGATCTCTGATCAGTTTTGCCTTTTTAGATCATATTGATAAAAGATTACAGGGAGGATCTGATCCTCGATAAGCACTCGTATTCTGATAGGCGTTATGACGACCAGGCCCTAATGTCAGTGTATTATCTAATGAGAAGCCGCAGCCATGAAACGTATTGCCATAAGAGATTGAAGACAACATCCCTCTGATAAACACCCAGGATCAGGGCCCATATCCACAAAGCCTATCAGAGGAGGAATACTGATCTAGGATCAGCTCCAACCTCTTATTCATCATGATTTAAAAGGGCAAAACTGCTTTGTAAATACGGGGCCTGACCCGAGTTAGATTCTTGAAGATATTTGAGGTGCGCTTGATTTCCCTTGGAGTTTGCACTTTTGGGATTAGTCCATTGGTGCCTGTGTACCAGGCAAACTAAATTTACATTTTAGTCATTTAGCAGACGCTCTTATCCAGAGCAACTTACAGTTAGTGAGTGCATACATTTTTTTTTCATACTGGCACCCCGTGGGAATCGAACCCACAACCCTGGCGTTGCAAGCGCCATGGTCTACCAACTGAGCTACACGGGGCCTAAATCAATTGCATCTCAAGTATTTGACATATGTAAATGTAAGTCGCTCTGGATAAGAGCGTCTGCTAAATGACTAAAATGTAAATGTAAATATGTAATGGGCTCAGGTTTGCCTGTATAACTACGCATACTAGAGCAGAGATCTCCGGTGCATTAATGTAAACGTATCGGTACCTCTGAGACTGTTTGCTCGGCTCAATAACTGTCAAATAATTACTATAGACTACTTCCAATGGAAGTAATGGTTCACTTTCCTTTTACAGCAACTCTGGCCCTATAGAAGCCATTTATGATGCAGTTAATGACAAGGGTGTAAACCATGATTGGTTATGTTGAATTAGTAATGTGAGAAATGTTGCCAGACCCTCATGGTGAGCCAGACTCTGTTTACATGTGACTGTACTGATCAATGTGGTGGTTGTTGCTGTATTGTGTTCAGAGGGGATGAGTTACAGTGACGATGCTTATTATATTTTCGGAACATTTATTGTTGTTTAAATCTATTTTCTCAGCCTTTCAAAGTGCCTCATTAAACTCTATTCCCATGTTGATATAAGCCTATTATTTTACTGCTAATTACCACAGAACTAGAATTCATCCTATATCTATGCTAATAACAGCATATTTCAGTCAGAGGAATATGTTTTCTATGTGGTCAAAGTGAATAAAATCTGTGTGTATCAAAATACACATACACGTTGTCATTGCTTGCTCTGAAGCAGTATTGACAAATAAATCATATTGACTATAAAAGGGGCCTCATCTTTCGTTCTGGGAAGCACTATGAATGTCATTTCTCTGTTTCTATTCACTTTGAATGTTGAAAATGCTACTTTCTTGTTTGCATTATATACAGGAAGTGCCTTGTGAATGGTATGAATCAACCAGATAAAGAGCCTTGAGTAAAGTAGTCAAACCTAACAGACAAACACCAACCGGTTGCAAGGCGTGTGTAGACCACAAGGCAGCCCAACCGGTTGCAAGGCGTGTGTAGACCACAAGGCAGCCCAACCGGTTGCAAGGCGTGTGTAGACCACAAGGCAGCCCAACCGGTTGCAAGGCGTGTGTAGACCACAAGGCAGCCCAAACGGTTGCAAGGCGTGTGTAGACCACAAGGCAGCCCAACCGGTTGCAAGGCGTGTGTAGACCACAAGGCAGCCCAACCGGTTGCAAGGCGTGTGTAGACCACAAGGCAGCCCAACCGGTTGCAAGGCGTGTGTAGACCACAAGGCAGCCCAACCGGTTGCAAGGCGTGTGTAGACCACAAGGCAGCCCAACCGGTTGCAAGGCGTGTGTAGACCACAAGGCAGACCAACCGGTTGCAAGGCGTGTGTAGACCACAAGGCAGCCGCCAGTGAATGAGTAAGAGAGGGGCTTTTAAAGTGGAACCTACCGGGGGAACACCGTTCTGTTGTCCTAACAACACTGCTGAGCTGATTTGGACGCTGACTGCAAATAAAGTGACATTCTTAGACCCAGTGACGCCACTCTGTGGACAGGCTGTATCCCAAATTACACCTTATTTCCTATACAGCCCATTGGAGTCTGGTCGAAAGTAGTGCACTTTATAGGGAACAGGGTGCCAT